GATATTGAGGCCATCATTGTTATCTAAATGTAAGGCAAACAGAAAAGGCATACCCAAGTGATTGCAGGAGGAAATGGAAACACATTCATTTTCGCTCAAAACCAAGTAGCCTGTACCGCTAATGCTGGTTGGGGTACATTAACTCTAAATTTGCATTGATGACCCTAGCCGGGGTGTGATTAAATAAATAGCTGGTTTATTCAAGTGGAATCTAAATACGATTCCATCGCTTAAGGCCATGAAGACCTTGACGGAAGCGACGCCAAGTCCCCTTGAAAAATCTAACTCTTTATATAAAGACCTGGTTAAATTGGTTGGCTTATTAATTTGTCATACGAAGCTGGTTCGTATTCCAAACTACTCATACAAATTGAAACCCAGATCTAAGCTTCAGGGCTTCAAGTATCTTTTCCTTCATAATTTCCTTAGCTCCCTTTATGGTCTCAATACCATCCACTGCAACCTTCTCATCTTTATAATAGGGGAGGTTTAGACTTAAAAGACAGGTAGAAGAACTTGGAAAATAGTTTACTGTGCCTCCGTGATTAACTTCAAGGGTTTTTGGAATGTTTCGAGAGCCGGTCCAAAATTGAAGGAGGTCTCTTTTTTCCTTTTCTGAAAATTTTTGAATTATTTCCCAAAACCAATCCTTTTGTATCTTCAACCCATTTTTCCAAGTTTCTTCTTCTATTCCAGTTTTTCCGTTCGTGAGATATTTCCAAACAGTAATGGCTTTCCATTTTTCAAACGCTTTATCGTTGATTTCTGAAAACTCCCCTTCAACTTTTTTTCGTAAACCCTCAATGCTAAATAATTGAAGTTCCTCTGGTGGAATAAAAATATGCACTCCGTCGAGGAACCGCTCAATAGTATCTTTGAGTGCAGAATAGTATATTTCGTGTGTCAGTTCGTCTCTGAGACTATTCAAATCATCATCTGTTAGCACAATAGATGTAAATGTTTCTCCATCTTTGTCTCGAGGAAGATGGGCTCCTATTTTCTCATCAGGAGAAACTATCAAATATCGCTTGCAAGCTTTGAAAAAATCTAATTTTTTTTTATCGTCGCCATCTTTATAGAAGTTCTCAAGGTCGTTCAAAAGATTAGAATCTGAGTTGGAGAAACCCCTATGCAAATCAGTGTCAATTAATTCCATATCTTTGAATAAAAGCGGAATATTTTTTGGATCGCTTGTCAAAATACGGTAAAAAAGGTCACTAAACCTGCAATCAAGCGTCAATTCTTTAGAAATTGCCAATCCCAGAAACGCTCCACAGAATTTAGCATATTCTTTATTCTTCCCATCTCTTCTGAAATAAAAGCCCTCTTTATAAGAATTGAAAATCGAAAGTTCGGAAACTTGAAGTTGGGCCGCCATCAAAGTGGCCCATTCCCTAGACAATCCCCCAGCATCTACTCCCTCTTCATTAAGAAATTCGACCTCAAAACTATGTATATGTAATAAAGCACTATGTTCTTTTGGAATACTCAATATTCTTTTGAAAGCTGTAAAAGAAGAGCGAAAGATATCATCTCTACGTACTTTTATGCTGAACTTTTTGTGAAATAACCCAGCCATAATCCCAATATTACGAATAATAGGGTTAGTGTCGGCTCCAAAAGACATAAGTAACAAATACTGAAACACCCACTCTGGCACTAAATTTACTAATCGATTGTAAATCTGAGCGAGAAAAAGTATGACATAGTGAGGTTTATAAAAGAAATATAGGTCGAAAATTAAAATTGGAAGGTCAACTATATTAAATCTGCAATAATATATTTTCGCAAAAAAAAAGACACAATAACAGCAGCTTAATATAGCTAATATTCCCCCCGGTATTATATTGGTTTCCAAAGAACGGCTAAACTTGTCAATAAAAAACGAATTGAATCTTGTAACAATTAAACTCATCAGATAAAATGCAGGCTGAATCTCATATACATAAGAACCATAATAAATAATTGTTGAAAAGACCGATAAAAAATGAAAGAATCGAATGCCAAAATAACATGTATCCAAAAATACACAAATTAAATTTTGAACTATAAAGAAATGCACATTATAAAAATGCCTTAAAGAGGTGACATCACTTTTTATGGAAACAGAATCAATATTCTCAAGGTAATTGATAAATCCGAGACTTAAATCGGGAATTTCAGGAGCTGATCTTGAAAAAGATAAAGGCTTTGCAGGGGCTACATTAGCATCTTTCACATTTGCATGAATCTCCTGTGAATCTTTCAAAACAGCCTCTACATCCAATGCACAAGAATATTCAACCTCAGGAATGGAAGATATGTCCAAATTCGGGGAAAATTTCTTCAATATCTCGTTAGCTTCAAAAAGTTTTAAAATTTTAGACTTTGAAATACCAGTTTGAGAAAAAAGAATCTTTTTAAGCTGATCAATTGACTTTGTATCGTTTAGATTGAGAATCGTGTTCCAGTTGGGGATTTTACTGCCTGCAGAATAGGCGGGTGACCAAAAGCTCTTCAAAAGCTTGGCAAAGAATACTTGCCACGGCAAAAGATCTCGCTCTCTACGATCCCTCGTCAACTGGTTCAAATGCGCAGAAGTAAAAATTGTTTGCAACGCAGCCTTTTTATCAGCCGGCATATCTTTTGGAAAAAGATCGGCTTTCGATGAGAGCGTTTCCCTTTCCTCCTCACTCAGTGTTGAATGCATAGCTTTGTCATATCTCAGAATTGAAGAAACAAAGATCTTAATCTGGTGACGTGGATCTTCTGCATGACTAAGCGGATCCATATGCGAAATTCCATTCAACAGCTCTCGGGCTGTCAAGAGCGCTTGATGAAAGTATTTGGCAGAAACAAGCGTCGAAAAAGTAACCACGCAAATTGCAGATGGATTGTTGACATCGACATTGGTTTCAAAGCAATGCGCCTGGTCAAGATACAAGAAAATATCTTTGTTTTTCAAACCGTACCTGGTTTCAAGGAACGAAAATTGGCCCTCCACAGGCAAGTCCCTCCCAACTCGGCCAGTGTCCATTTGATAAACGATCACATTTTGTTTTTCATCGTAATAGACCACGCACCGGTATTTCTTTGAGTCCAAGATCTTTTTCGCCACCTTGGAGTTGCAATAATCCTTCAAAACAGCGCCGACATCCAACAGTGCTGTTGTGTTTAATTTAAAAATAAAATCCATAAAAGCTTTAAATTCATGATCCTTGGGCATACAAATGCCAAGGCTCTTCTTAGTAAGCATAGCATAATAGTCAATTTCGGAATGATCATCTTTCGTGTAGCAATTTTGAGCAGGAAAGGCGACCGATTTAAGGCTTTGGCTCCCCCTTACAAAAGAGCGTTTGTCATAAATTTCAAGATTCGAGATAAATTTAAGCATTTCCAGATTGCAGGAGGGATGCTTTCTGAATTCAATGAACTGGCTGAAATATAATAAAGCTTCTTGGGCAGATGATGCCAGAAGATCACGCGATGTCTTTATGTTTTTGATTACTACATTTCTCAAAAATTTATCGAAAGTTTGATTGGTCTCGTATATCTTGTCCCTTAAATGGTTGAAGAGCTGCAAATGAGATAGTTTCGGTGTCCTCTGCATTAATTTTACTGGGTCATAATCAAGAATCTTCAGAGTGGAATAGATATTCGCCTTTGTGAAGAATAAAGGAGGCTCACTGAGATCTTTCATCTCGTTTTCAAGATAAAACTTGAGCGAAATGGCAATCATGAACAGCTGGTTTCCAAAGCTGCTGCCCTCCCTTGGTGTATTTGCCATCGAATATGGGATCGGATATGGAACCGAGGATTTCATGGATGCTCCATACCCCACATTGCGCACCTTTTCCCAGCAACTAACAAAAAGCTGATCAATAATCAACGCGCGGATTTCTTTGCTTGTCTTTCTCAACATCTTCTCCAGTGCCTTGTTCAATGTATTTTTGAAGGACTCAGTAGTAGATGGCGTAAGAGGCTCTTTGATCTCAAAAATGGTGATCTCTTCTCCAGTTTGCGATCGGAATATCTTTTTGTCTTTCAAAGACAGGAAGCACTCAATAAGCACATCAATGAGATTCCAGTCCTTTTCAGCAGGCTCGTTTGTGTCAAAGCTGTACAGAGCTGAAGCATCGACTTCGTCGAAAACAACCATCGAATAGTGCTCAATGAAGTGCAAGATCCTCAGAACCCAAGCAAGAGTTTCTTTTGACTCATCTGTGTTTTGCGAAAACAGTTCTTTTTTAGCATTCAGCAGGCATTGGATGCTGTTCATCGAAGACACGAACACATCGCCGCGATCATGGGCCATTGTAAGCTGATAGTACAGATAGCGAAGATACGGCTCACTGTATCCATAATCCGACCGTTCTGTTTTGAATTCGAAAACGCTTTTCCCAAAAAAGTCAAAAAGCCACTGCCGCAGTTGCAAAATGTTTTGGTCGAGGATGGAATTGGAAAAGATAAATATCGGCAGTTTTCTCAGCACCGATCTTGCCATGATTGCGATAGCAGGACCGAAACGCATCGTACTTGCGCCATCAATTTCCTGCTCCACAGCATACGATTCTTCATCTACAATTTTGTGTAAAATGGTCGACATAATAGTTCTCTGCTGTTCACGCAAAGGATATTTTGCGAAAAACTCGATGAGAATGAAAACCTTGTCCTGCATAGTGACAAGTAATTTTTGACCAGGAATTTCTTCTGCTTGTTGAGGAAAAGAATGTTTTTTCTCGATCCAAGCCTTGCAAAAAGTATTCTTTTTCAAAAGAGGAGACTCACAATAAAAAACTGTGATGAAATGGGACCACAAAAGATCAAGCAGCTTTGGGACCTTTTCAGCACTAACTGTGAAGAAAGCCCCCAGTTCCTCAACCGACCCACACAGCAGTATTTGGGCAAGAAGCCTGGGGTCTTTTAAGGCTCCCAGGGGAAACCCGTAAAGAAACTCATCAGTGGACACTATTGATTTCAATTTCTCTTCAAGTGAAGCAGCATCACTAAAGAATGTAAAGCTCACATTTGCCTTGAACAGATCAGATGAAAGAGCTTTCCTTTGCATGGTTATGTTTAGCAGATTTTCATAGTCGGCAGGAGACGATGGGAGTATTTCTGTGATGTTAAACGATCCCTCATAAGGGATAGATGACTTGAATTTCACAGATCGGTCATAAATGTCCAACAGTTCATAGGGAAATGTGTTTTTTTTAAATTTAGCAAAAAAAGTTACGAGGTTTTCCTTATCAGGGAGCTTGTTGAAAACCATGAAAATCACATAAAATAAAGAAATAATTTTGTATCCGTCCTTATCGTTCTCCATTTCAAGATAAAATCGTGTAAAATCTACATAATGAGAATTTAGTTTATCCACAAAATCAGTTAAATCGTTGGATGATCCAGCTAGCTTGTATAGAAAAGATAGACAGCTCGGGAAGTGAATATTTTTTAATATATTCCAGTCGGTCAGCTCTATTTTGAGAAAACTATTTTGAGACAGTTCATATTCAGCATCTTGGATATCCTTTTTAAGGCTGGGGATATCTAATCGAAACTCTGCGGGTTTTCCAATACTAGAACCGATTTTCAGCTTGTTAGAATATGCCCAAAGATATTTATGCTCATTGATGTTAGGAAGAAAAGAGAAAAGAACCCTTTTATACTTGAATGGAATAACGGAAATTAAATTCGCAATTTTGGTAATCTTTTCAACCCTATTGGTTTCATCCAAAAAGCCCTTAAAAAAGATGTCATGTTCATCAAGGAAATGGTTTGCCCAGGCTTCTATCACAAGATATTCGACATCACGGTATTTGATTTCGAGGATATTTTGCAAAATAACCAATTCAAGCTCAGTGAGTTGCAAAGAAACACTCGAGTACAAGGAAACGTATTCCATAGCCCGGTCATAGTATTTTAAAAAGACAAGCCAATAGGCGATGGCAAGGTTGATTTCTCGATCATGGCCCTCAATGTTGAAATGATCATCTTTACACGTAGCACTGACAAAAGTAAAGTTGTATGAATCTCCAGGCTTTGACAGAGGCACCGGAATGATAATTTGAAAAGACTTTCCAATCGACACAAATAGAAGTGGCAAGTTTGAGGAGACGAGGAAATTTTCTTTGATTTCAGCAGGAGGGTGGATCTTGAATTTCTCGCCCTTGATAACAGCGAAATACTGTTCACCTCCCTCTTTCACAACATAAAAGTCCTTTGCCGGTCCATTGTAGCTGTCGAAGAAATAAAAAGATTGAGCCTGACTTTTTAGCATGAAAATGTACGAGTAAAATACAAAGTTAAAAATCGGCTCACGATTCGAAAAATCATCAAAAAACGATTGCGAAGAGAAAGAACAGAACGAATTTATGTGAAAAGAACAAGGAAGTGGGCTTGATAAGTTTCCCACAAACTTGGATGAGTTTTCCAAAACCAGAGTATTTGTGCCATAAATCTTTCCATACGGGAATCCATCTTTATCAAAAAGTAAAAAAACTTCTTCACTCCACAACCAACTCCACAGCCACATCCACAGCCACATCCACCAGCTTTCAAAGCACCTTTTGAATGCAATGATATTATGATCTGATCCTACCATTTTGCTGTTGAATGCAATTTTAAGGTCCAAATGTGAATGACAAAGCTTGAAATCTTGAGGAATGTACTTGGCTTCCACTTGACCATTCTTTACTAAAAATGCATCGTTTTTGTGCAGAATGAAATACATACTGTTATATTTGAGGATGGAGAATATTGAACCATCAGCTCGGCGCTTATATAGCGTAAATTCCAGCTTATACTTACGATTCAAATCGATCCCCATGGCCGTCCATAAACTGTGGTTCTGCGATGGAAGTCGTAAAAGTTGTCTAGTTTCCCCATCAATCAGGAAATGTCCATTCACCAAATTTTGGATTCCCTTTTCTGTCTGGGCTGCGCATCTTGATTTAGAAGAGGAAAATCTCCAATTGTCATAATAGATTCTAAGAACATATTGAATTTCTTCCTTGCAAAAAAACGACTTTATGAGCTCAAAATTCGATATCACCGACAAATAGAGGGCATGGCTATTGGTCAGGTTAGAAAACTTTTCCCCAACTATCAGCGTATTAAGCTTGAGAAACGCGAAAATCGGCTGATATTGGGCCACAAAAACATGCTCAAGATCGCCAATGTCAAGGTCGGTTTTTTGGATCGACATCAAGCGATTGAGGATGATCTGGTAATTTGCCAAAAGCCTAAACAGTTCCGTGTCATCGCCATTTATAAAAATTTCTGAAAGTATTTTATCCCTGCGAGATAAAAAATATTCGATAACTGGAGGTAGAGCCTCTTTCGTGTGATCATTATCATATGTCGATGGTCTGAGGAGAAAAGTATAAAGTATTTTCATTCCAGCTTCGGATAAAATGAAAGCATCATCTTTTTGGTCATAATTCAAGAAAGAAAAACCAGACGAAAATTTGGGATCCAAACCCATCAAACCTAAAGGTCTTTTTTCTTTCGAAGATAGTGATGCAATTTCTTCAGTAATATCGTAATCATGTGTTTTTACCTTGAGACTGCTGATAAAATAAGTGGGAATACCAAAATACAAGCGAAAAGTTGCCCCGGAAACATATGGACTGTAATTAATATCCAATATTTTGTAAAGCAGATCTAAAAGATTGTAATAATGTCCATCAAGTAAGAAATTTTTTGGAATCGCAGTATTATTGGAACTCTCAATCCTAATAGGGTTCGAAACTACTGTCAAGATATATAAACTCCTTTTAAAATGTTCTGGATCATAATTATAGTCAGAAGCACTGCCTATCTGATCTTTAATCATATCTACATTGAAAAATTGTCCCATCTCATCTGGATTCGGAAGATCTTTGCTGTCTTTAAACAATATGGAGACCAATTTAGACGTAATTTCTATATCTCCATCAAGAAACGAAATAAATTTCTTCGATTTTGGGAGGATCCTTTCTAGAAGATCGATTTCATCGGAATATGAAAAAGAAGGTGATAACTTTTCAAAAATCCGATCATTGATAACCTTAAATTTATTTTCATCGCTATTCAGAGAGTCCTTTAGATATGTGATGTATATTTCTTTGTAGGCTTTGAAAATCTCAACTAAAATCAGAGCCTTTTGGTATATAAAAAGCTTATTTTTATAGTCCAATAAGCGCCATATTTTGCTGAAAAATGTGTAAAGAAAGTCCATTTTTTCTATATCAGATGAAGTACAGTTTTTTACCATTGGCATGACCCGGAATGTCAGCGAATCGAGATATGAAATCAGAGGAATCTCTTTGCCCATAAAGCAAGGCTGATAAGCGATTTCGTTGGTCAAAAAAATGCAAAATTGAGCTTGAAAATTCACTGAAATTTTGACGATCGTAACCACCATCTTGATACTCGAAATTAGGAAGCTCGCAGTAAAACGTCTCATTGGCAGATAATTTGTCTAAAGGTCCAAGATTGAAAATGCTCCAATCTGGTCCGGAAAAAAAGGCCCTTATGCCTCTATTATCTGCTATGTGTGTAGGAACTGCGTCGAAAATATTTTTCTTCCTTGCTATTTGGAATTGATCATAAGCTAGCTTTAGGTCTCTGAAAAACACATGCTCTTTCATTTCAAACACGCCATTTCCAATTTCAACTAGATATCTGAACATCGTATCAACAAGATCAACATTCCACCTTAAAAACTGAAACTTTGCCATTTCGTTCAATATATCGCGATTGGATGTTAATTTTTCATACATAAAGTTTTCGGCTCCGTTTTTGTCTTCAATTGAGTGGCTTGGTTGAGATGGGAGAGAAAGGGAATACTTTATGCGATATTTTTGTGAAACAAAATCAGAAGATTGTTCAGATACAAAATGCTGCAGGCCGCTTAACGATGCAACTAAAAAAATCTTTTTGCATACGCTCTCAGTGAGTTTGAAGGTACAATATGCGCGATATGAGGAAATAGCACATGTTCCATTTCTTTTGGGATCAATGAAAACATCATACGTTGCATTGGACCGATCAAAAGCGCCCAAAAGTCTGGGATAGAAGTTTGTGATAACCTTTTCATGATTACCAAAATTCAATGCAGCCTCGATCCAGGCTTCATTGATAAGAAACGGAGGACCCTCGTATATGACAACTGGTGAATATTGCTTCCTTGGACCAATATGGTATTCTGGGTGATGCTCTAACCCATCGCCACTGTTATAAATAAGGACTTTCCATAAATACTCATGTTTGGGATCAGGAGAGGCGACCTTGAAAATTTCACACAACATTG